GTTGAAAGTGGAATCATGGAAATGGAAGGAAGAAATGGGACCTTCCGCATTATCATATTGGGAGCCCTTTTACTCTTCTGCACACATACAGTTTTGAACACTGCCACTGTTCTTTTATTTCATCAAAGAGTGCAAATGTTGGTAGAACACACAATGAGGAGACACGCAAATTTGCCAAAACTATGGACCATGTTCACTAGGCCTACTGCTCGCAAATTGCTGGACCGACACAGAGAGCGCCGACCAAGGAAACGGCATTCGTCGACCGAGGCGCTGCATCGTATCGCCGCGAGTCTAAAAAACTGGACCAAACATTGAACATTCCCAAAATTTCTTTTTACTAACAAGTTCGTGCATTGAATGTCATCCAACCACCTGCTTTAAAAAGTTACACAATGTACACAAACGACAGAAAAGTAAAATATTTGGTGGGCTTTACCTGTAGCTTCGTCCCGTACGACGCCAGCTCGCTCCGGTGGGGCAGCCATTTTCTTAGCTTTGGGGGGAAACAACGGAGAGGGATTGGTCAAACCAAGGGAAGCAATCCTGTAGGGGGCGTCGTGCGACTTTGGACTAAGAAATTTTAATACGCTGGGCTACGTCTACGTCACAAGCGGAGCTGAGCCCCATGCTCTCGACGCTGCAGAGCGCACAGACCGCTTGCTGGCCTGGCTATGAACTCGGAAAAGGGGTCTCACGGCGTTTAGCTGGAAGGACGGGAACGATGCGAGGAATGCCAAGGACCTCGACCGTCGACGCGCGATTTGTGATCGTGGCGAGGCCTATTTCTCGTGGGACTCCGCGTCTGCTGCTGCTTGTCTAAATCTATTTATTTATATTTTTATACGCTTGCGTTGTAAACGTAGGTCTAGTGCAATGTACCTTGTATTTGCGTATAATTTCGTATTGATTGTACAATAACAGATTGTGTGAGAGAGAATAAAAGCGTGTTTTATGTGGATAGATGGATAAATTTGTAATCACTGGAAAAGTGGCTCAAGTTTGTAAAAGCGGGGGGGGGGTGAATGGAGAGGTAGCGATCCGACATAGCCGAGTATAATAAGCTGATAGAAGGTGTTGCAACTTTAGCAGACTACTATAGGTAGGCCTACACTGGAAGAATGTACTTGACACACCCTTTTAAAAAAGTTCACCGTTACTGTTACACTCTTTTAACAACTTTAACTTTAACGTTCCCTTGAGGAATCAAGGATCGAAGGGGTAAAAAGCAGCTAAACCACAGCGATGCAGGACTCATTTTTCTGAATATTTATTCGAATTAGTTCGTCGGATCATGTAAAGCGTATGACAACTACACAGTATAATTTAATTATAAAAATCGATAAAAATAATTATATCAAAGCAATAGACGAAGAACAAGAACAAGCATTTATGCCTAGCCCTCTGCCCCCCCCC